TAACTTCAACCTCAGTTGAGGTCCGCAGTCAGTGACGCAATGAGAATGACATCTTGTAGATCTTGTGAAGTTTAATCTATAAACTGAGAGAATCTTACAACAATGAAATTCCATAGGTCAAAAGAACATACTGTTTCTTGCTCCATGCCATGAGGCTAACTGCAATGCATCTCTGGGAAGGGGGAGGGCTATCTATGCAACATTAGCTAAACTAAAGGAAAGGGAGGAGCAGAGACAATACACTGAAAACCATTTAAAGGCATATGACAGTCAATATGACAGTCATGTGAAACATGACAGTGGGAATTGCTTATACTTTTTCACATTTCCATAATTTCTCTCTTTTTGTGTCCCAGTACAGTAGCAATTTTCTTATTTGTCTCCTTGGATTAAAAAATTTAATTTCTTGGTTCAAATCTCTGCATGTTGAGTGTAGGGCAGCCCATTCATTTCAGTGGGCTGCCCTACCCATGAGAAATGCAGGAAAAGAAGTCCCCAGTCCTTTTATTAAAATTATGCCAAACCAAACACATGCAGAAAAATTAATGTCTCTGCACATGGTATGAACGAGGCCTAAAAGTTGGAGTAAGAATTTTAACAAATAGACTGAAAAATGTTTATTTTATTGTGCTCAATATCAAAGAACAAGAGATGTAAAGCATGTTCAATTAATATATTCTAAATCAATACAGAAAAGGATATTAAATAAAAATGGCATACTGATATAATATGTTACAATATGATATGATATGATAACAGAAATTGTAGTTATAAATCTTTCTGTCTAATGCATTTAGGTATGTAATGATAACAAAAAACATCATTTGTGTGACAGGCTTTATTTATCAAACAATTGCCACAATATAGAGCTCATTTACCTAAAGTTGGTATGGTATTTTTATTACTCATCTTTAATTGTGTATGTAGGCCAAAGCATTAGATCTGAAGGATTATAAATTATGTGTTTTACAAAATAAAAGAAAAGAGAAAATAAGTAGGATATAAGTAAGAAAATAAAATAGAGAGCAGGGAAATAAAGATAGGAGACTGGTAGTAATCCCCCAAAAGTTGTAGATATAGCTGTTCATTTTTAGTGTTTTATAACTGGGTGAATCTTTGAACAGGTACAAATGTTGGCAAAGTATGTGAAATTGAGATAATGTATCTGAAGACAAGGCTCTAGTTTCTACATACATATAGAATACATTTTGAACTTTGATTGAACTTGATTTCCAATGTAAAGCAACCAATGTTTTGGCTGAAATGAGAAGGTGGATAGTTAAAGAATTTTTATAATGATGTAATGTTGTATCAGAAATATATAATAAACAACATTCTGGTGTAAATTCTATATTTGTTTGAGATTGTGTAAATCAATTCTTTCACACGGCTCCAAAATAGCACAATCATTGGGCAAGACCACCAAAATATAAGCAGCCATGTTCATGCTGATATCTCCAGCATAATTGTACTACTACTACTACTTCTACTACAAAAATGTAAAAAAGCTATCCACTGGCATCAGAAAGTCTCTTTTTTTTAGTAAATCTACACTGAATGAAGTGCTTGCTCTGCTCATGGCTTCTGTTACCAAACAATTTTTGTATGGAGCCTGTTGGATGTGTTCACATTTATGTGGGTAGTCACAATGTTGCATCAGGTAGGTTTTCTGTAAATACATCTATATTCCCAACCCCCTTACTTTGGCCCTAATTGTAGTCCTTAATTCCTAACCATAGACCCTAAATCTAACTAGAACCCAACCCATAACACTGAATTGGCTCCTAAAAACCACCACTTACCTTACAGGGTGCTGGAACTATCAGACGTGAAGGCACACTGTCCTGTGCTGAGAACAGAGTGGAACCAAGTGCTGAGAACAAGTGTCAAGCCCTCTTAACTGTGCCTTCTTCGCTTAGATATTATTAATATATATTGAAAAACGTATATCAACGTTAGAATAGCAATACTGAATGAATCATTATACATAGAAAATAGTATAGTATATTAACTGCTGCTGCATGTCAAAGTCCATTTTTTTTGGAAGGGGAAAAATATAATAAATAACTGGGACTCTAGCTGCGATTAGGAGGCATCTTTGTTATATCTTGTGGAAGGTGGTGAAAAAAACTACCACAACCAAATTTGGCCAGTGGGACCTTCTCAGTGGAATGGAGCCCTATAGAATACTGTAGCTGTCTAAATACTTTTAGATTTGGTGTGCATGACTCTAGGATGTAAAGGCCACAGCTTTCTCACAATCAGACACTTGGATTGGCACTTTTTAGGTGCACATGGTATTCTTCATTCAGTCTCTTAATCACTAGACACCCCTTATAGACCACAGAAATATTTTCTTTTCCACAATGAGCCTGTTTATATGAAGGTAATGTTGTCATGACTTACATAGCAAAGCAAAAACTTTTTTTTTTGTGGGGGGGGGGGGGGGGATTTCCTTTGGCAATTTTGTTGCAAACGTATAAAAAAAAAAATATTAAAAGAACCCCACGCAACTGTAGAGCATATCAGTGCATTTTTCAATGTGCATTGCATTCTGATAGCTTTGTAAGTCCAAAGAGAACAAAAAAATGAATAAGAGGAGAAAAAAACAAAAGCTGTGAGAAGAGCACAGTCATGAGACCTGTCAAAATCACATGACTGACTCTCCTGCAATCACAGATCTCCCTCTGCTATGTCAACAGGGAAACTCTGTGGGACAACACAGACTTCACACTGCGCGACAGGCGGACTGACCATTTGGAAACTCGGGCACTGCCCGAGGGCCCGGGGTCAGTAGGGGGCCCCATGAGATGCCCCTGGTACCTTTTTCATAGGCTTTTTTGAGTTTGGGTAAGGACACAGGGGCCCCATGATCCCCTATTGCCCAGGGGCCCCATGAGTTGTCAGTCCGCCCCTGCACTGCGACCCACATTTTTACCATGGACTACAAAATGTAGGCATAACCCAGTATATAGCTTAATAACTATATCCAGTCTCCATTATAAAGCACCCCCTAAGTGTGAAGCATGGTTGCAGTGCTGCTTTATGAAACATACTGTAAGCTCTCTGGTGGTACTTTTTACAGAAATGCCTGTTTATAAAGTGAGATGCTGAGCACATCTCAGGTCCTCTGTCAGTGTATACCTCAGGTGTGTATACTACTACATTTTTATGTGTTCACATCTATAACATGGAAAAAAATATTTTTTGTGAGGTAATTTGATTGTTACCTTGTGTATAGTCAATTGGGAATGTTTGCTCCTATTGAGTTGTACAGTAAATAATTTGGTTATCTATCATTTTTTTTAGAAAGATACTTGTCGAAATATCCTTGGCACTCCTACTTTGGCTCACTATATACCATCCCTGGCACATACGGGGCATAAGCTGCATGGGGATTTCTGAGGGTTTCATCAGATCCTCTTACATATTGAATTCATTTGTTGGTTGTGAGATGCCCTTCAGCAAATTTTGTGTGATACTACTTAATTATTTATTTATGCTTTGATACAGCCTATACACTAAAGTTCATCTCCCAATAAAGCCAGATTAAAGGTGAAACATGTTGACATGACTACTTTAGGCTTCCATCAATGGATATGCTCACAAATCTACATTACTTCATGTATATGGTGTAATCCATATGTCCTTGGATTCATATGTTTTATACTTTGTAATAACCTGTGTAGTTTTAATGTAAATCCTTAACAATAGTGAAATTTTTTATTTAATTTATATGTTGATATCATGCACCTTAAAAGTCTGTATTTTGAGGTATTCTGTCTGTTTTCACATCTTTAAAGATAATTAATTGAATAATATATGTGTAAAATATCATAATTTCTTATTATATATACATATCATAATCCTATAAAAGAAAAAACAGCAAATTGGTTCAGTATATCATACACCTTTCTGTATGACTAATGACTACATAAGACTACTTAATTCATATCTCTCAACACCCAGGGCACTATTTAGGCTTTATTTTAAATCATCTGATCGGGCTGTTGGGCCAAATATGTCATTGCCTAAAATTGATGATAAACTGACAATAAAATATGTCATCCCTTGTAAAATATAATTGCCTTATTTATATGCAATGAGTTCAGTATATGCCTTCACATGTTCATTTGGAGTCTGGTAAATATGTAAATAGAAATGAGCCACTGACATCACAATTTATCATCTTCTTTTAAGGACCTGTTGTACATGGTCATGTGTGAAGATACAGACTGTGCATTGATACAAAGGAGCATCTTCTGTATTTTACACAGGGGTGGACTGTCCTGCAGGGGGACAGGGGAATCCCCTTGGGGGTCCAGAGTATGTGAACAAAACTGATGTTAAAAGTATCTAGTAAGGGTCTGTCATTACTAGATGAAATTATTATTATTATTATTATACAGGATTTATATAGTGCCAACAGTTTGCGCAGCGCTTGTACCTGTCATTTAATGTTAATGTCATGCCTGCCTCTCTGTACTGCTCGTTCCACCCCCAGGGTCCCCAGCCACATCATTCCCATCAATTTTCTCTGCGAACATTACCTTCATGAAGTCACTAACTTGTTTGATGGCTTTTTTTTGTCTGCAGTCTACCCTTCTGCGACCCACCTTCCATGTTCTGCTGCATCTGCATCTTACTGATCGCTCTCACTTTATTTCTCTTGGCAGATTCCAGTCTGAGGTGGTTCCAGTCAAGTGTCCTCGGGGCTCAGTCTTGGGTCCTTCACTGTTTAGCATTTACATGTTTCCACTTGGCCAACTGCTTAGATCACATGGGCTCAACGGTCACTTCTATGCTGATGACACTAAGATATACATCAACAATAAACCAGATTCTACTTTGGCTGCTTCTCCCCTATCTAACTATATTTTTGATGTACAAACATGGATGGTCCACAATTATCTTCAATTAAACTGTGACAAGACTTAAGTTATGCTTATTGGCATCTCCTATCAATTAGGTAAGGCCCAGGGGCGGACTGACAACTCATGGGGCATCATGGGGCCCCTGTGCCCCTGTGTCCTTGCCCAAACTCAAAAAAGTCTATGAAAAAGGTACCAGGGACATCTCATGGGGCCCTGTACTGACCCCAGGCCCTTGGGCAGTGCCTGAGTTTCCAAATGGTCAGTCCGCCCCTGGTAAGGCCAGCCCTGGTAGTCTATCTATAAATGGCACTGTATTTCAGTGTCAGTGTAAATTGAAAAATCTGGGGGTGATATTTGATGCTAGTTTAACCACTTGCCTACAGGGCTCTTATACCTCCTTCATACCCAGGCCAATTTTCAGCTTTCAGCGGTGTCGCGGTCATGCAACACTGTATCCATATGAAATTTTTATAATTTTTTCACACAAAAATCTTTTGGTGGTACTTAATCGCCACTGGACATTTTATTTTTTGTGCTATAAATAAAAAACAAGAAAAAAATGTGAAAAAAAAAGTTTCTATTATAAAATTTTGCAAGCAGGTAATTTTTCTCCTTCACTGATGTGCTTTGATGAGGCTACACTGATAGGCAGCACTTATGGGCACTGATAGGCAGCACTGATGGGCACTGATAAGGTGGCACGAATAGGCAGCAGTGATGGGCACTGATAGGTGGCACTGATGTGGTGGCACTGATGATGCTGCAATGATATGCAACAATGATGGGCACTGATAGGCGGCACTGATGGGCAGCACTGATGGGTGGCACTGACTGGTGGCACTGCTGGGCACTGATGGGGGGCACTGCTGAGAACTGGTGGACGGCACTGCTGAGCACATGTGGTTGGCACTACTATGCACTGATGGGCATGTGTGGGTGGCACTGCTGGGCACTGATGGGCACAGGTGGGTGGCACTTCTGGGCAATTGCATGCGGCACTGCTGGGCACAGGTGGGTGACACTGCTGGGCACTGATCATCAGTGCCCTGTTGATCATTGCCAATCCGTCCTCTGACAATTGCCGGTTATGACAGCGTGAAGAAGTGCAGCCAATAACCGGAAAACTGCATTTACCGGTGATCTGCTGTATCATTGGACACAGCTGATCACGTGGTAAAAGGCCGCTGTGATTGTCCTTTTACCACATCACATGATCAGCTGTGTCCCCGGGGGCTCATTCTGTGTGCGTTCTGGGAGGACGTCATATGATGCCGTCCCAGAACTGCAGAACTGCAGAACTGTGCTGTAGCCGTCATTCGGCTATAGCATGGCTGGCAAATGGTTAACCTTTGATCCACATGTAAAAAATGTTGTTAGAACATCTTTTTTCCACTTGAGAAACATTGCTCGGCTGCGTCCTATGCTATTATACACTGTACCTGAAAAGCTGATCAATACATTTTCTCCCGACTTGACAACTGCAATTTTCTACTTGGTGGGGTACCTAAATCAACTATTAATCAACTACAATATATACAAAATTCTGCAGCCATAATGTTCACTAGGTCTGGTACAAGTGATCATATTACACCTATCCTGGAGTCTTTGCACTGGCTACCCGTCAGTTTTCACATAGACTTTAAAATCCTCTTGCTCCCCTGTAAGGCTCTTCATGGCTTGGCACCCCATTATCAACTTTTATCAACCTACTCCCCCGCCATAACCTCTGCTCCTCAAATCCTTGTCTTTTGTGTGTCCCTCCTGCTCACCTATATCCAATGGGAGACAGAGCATTCTCCTGCCATCCTCCAAGACTCTGGAATTCACTTCCAAAGAACATTAGAGAGTCATCTTCTCTAAACTACTTCAAATCAAATCTAAAAACTTTTTTCTTTAGACAAGCTTTCATGTAATTGTCCCTTTTTTCTTTTGTTTTATCCTGTGTATTTCTTGTGTTTTTGTTTCTTTGTCTTTGTAAAGTGCTTTGAGATGCTACCTTTAACCACTAGCCTACAGGGCACTTATACCCCCCTTCCTGCCCAGGCCAATTTCCAGCTTTCAGCGCTGTCACACTTTGAATGACAATTGCGCGGTCATGCAACACTGTACCCATATGAAATTTTTATCATTTTTTTTGTGACAGATAGAGCTTTCTTTTGGTGGTATTTAATCACCTCTGGGTTTTTTTATTTTTTCTTAAACAAACCAAAAACCACTGAAAATTTTGAAAAAAAAGTTTTTTCTTAGTTTTTGTTATAAAATTTTGTAAATAAGTGATTTTTTTCTCCTTCACTGATGTGCGCTAATGAGGCTGTAGTGATGGGCACTGATAGGCTGCACTGATGGACATGGATAGGTGGCACTGATGGGCACTGATGAGGAGGCACTGGTAGGTGGCACTGATGGGCATTGACAGGAATCACTGATGGGCACTGAAAGGCAGCACTCATATATGGCACTGATAGGCGGCACTGATAGGCAGCACTGACGGGCACTGATAGGCGGCACTTATGCACACTAACAGGCGCCATTGACTGGCACTGATAGGCGGCACTGACTGGCACTGATAGGTGGCACTGATTGGCAGCACTGATAGGTGGCACTGACTGGCATTGATAGGTGGCACTGACTGGCACTGATGGGTGACACTGAAAGGCAGCTCATATGGGCACTGATATGTGGCATTGATGTGCACTAATAGGCACTGAAATGTGGCACTGATGGGCACTGGCAGGTGGCATGGATAAGCACTGACAGCTGGCACTGATGGACATTGACAGGTGGCACTGCTGGGGCTACACAGATCATCACGGCACACTGATTATTAGTGCTCTGATGATCAGTGTACATGTCCCCTCTGAGAGAAAAAAGCCGATTACCGGCTCTCCTCTCCTCACGAGCTGTCAGCGTGACAGCTCGTGAGGAGAGAAATGCTGATAACCGGCATTTCCCTGTTTACATGTGGTCAGCTGTGATTGAACACAGCTGATCACATGACGAGCCGACATCTTCGGCTCTTTCCGTTGATCAGTGATCCGCTGTGTCCGAGGGACACAGCGCACCGCCGATCGCCATGCTGCGTGCTCCCAGAGCCGCGCATGCGCAGTTAGAATGGGAAGACATCATATGACATCCTCCCAGAACGAGAGAACCGCCTTGAGCCCGTCATTGTACTATATGGCGGGCGGGAGGTGGTTAAAGTGCTATATAAGATAAAAATCATTATTATTATTATTCTGTGTGGGTAAGCAGCAACGTCAGTAACATCAGAAGAAAGAACAGGCATCAAATCACTTGACCTCCTTCTCCAATCAGCACCCTCTTTAGCCTGAATTAAATGCAGGCCTTGCAGGTATGTCCTGGGAGCTGCAGGAGACTGCATTGCTGACCTGGCTGCCTGTGTGAGCCTGTCATAAATGAAGGAAGAGACACATGGCAGCAAGCAGCCATCTTCTTCTGTAAGTCAACAAAGAAAAACCTAAACTGCATATGTGCGGCCGCTCGATGTTAAGGCCTGCTTGCCGAGTGGCCACATATATGAACGTGGCTAGCATCAACAGGTTAATCATGTTAGTAAGTTGTTGAAGCTGCTGTGCACAGTGAGAATTGACAGAAATTACATGACAGGGGGTCCTGGGGGTGGAACGATCAGCACAGAGAGGCAGGCAGGACATTGACAAGAAGGAAAGGTAGAAATTTTATTTTTTTATTATTTATTTATTTATTTCAGGTACTTATATAGCGCCGTCAATTTACGCAGCGCTTTACATATATATGTTGTACATTCACATCAGTCCCTAACCCTCAAGGGGCTTACAATCTAAATGTTAGACCCTAAGTAGATACTTCTTATTTAATTTTTTGCTCCACCTAGTCATGGCCCAAAGGAGGAACTTCTGGTGTTCCAGCAGGCTAGAATCTGCGCTATATCAGGCGTCAGCAAATACATATCTTATTTCAGAAAATAACAAAGATTTTTTTTTCAAACCTAACTATACTGGTGGAATCACTTGTCACAAATGAAAGCAGTACTTCTCAGGATAATTCTGTTATTGCTACAACTGAAATCTATTTACTTTAGAAAAGAATAAAACTCACAATGAAAACAATGCCTGGGAAATTGTTAGAGGGTGACCCCCTGTCAAACCCTCTTTAATTTTGTTATCAGTATTTCTTTGTAGGCTAGATCAGGTGAAATCTAACCTTAAATTAAACAAAAAAAAAAAAAAAAAATGACTGAATGAAAATTAAAAAAAATATCCTGCAGCACATGAAGAATGCTTAATTTATGGGTCAGTCACTCATGTCCAGACTGGTACTGCTAGGATTTGTGGAATTTGGGCAGCCATCTTTTTGGTAAGTGAACCAGAAAGGCCTGAAATAATTTCAATAATTGACTGAATTATATAATTTGACTAAAAAAATATAATTTGGCACAGATAGAGTGCTATAATTTAGTGTTGGGTGGGATTTTATTGGCCATCTTCTTTGGTAAGTGAACCAGAAGGCTGTAAACTAGTTATAATAACTCACTGAATAATAAGTAAAAAATATGCCTTGTGGCACAGAAAGAAGGGATCAAGCTCTTTTTTTCGGAAATGAAAATAAAATAAATATATCCTGTGTTATGGAAAGCATGCAATCTTTTATTTGGGGGTCAGTCACTCTTTTCTTGACTGTTAATTCCCGGTTCTGTGTGACTTGGACAGACATTTTCTTTAAGCCCTGTTTCACACTGGATCCGACTTTGAAATCGGATTGACACCTCGGGGTTTATTTACTAAAGCTGGAGAGTCCAAAATCAGACTCCCTTCTGCATAGAAACCAATCAGCTTCTAACCTCAGCTTCTTCAATGAAGCTTTGGCAATGAAACCTGGAAGCTGATTGGTTTCTATGCAAAAGGGAGTCTGATTTTGGACTCTCCAGCTTTAGTAAATAAACCCCCTCATGTCAATGCGACTTCAGGTGCGATTTGGCGACACCTGTGTGACTTCATCCATCTATGCAAGTTGCACCTGAAATCGCACAAAATAGTGCAAGAACCTTTTTTCAAATCGGTGTGTGGCACCACAAAAGTCAGAGCCGCACTGATTCGAATGGTTCACGAGGGTGCAACTTGTCATGCAATTTGAAACTGTGTGAACCAGGGCTAATATGTGCTTCAGAAAAGTCTAAATTAATCTCAATAACCGATTGAATAAAAGTAAAAAAATGTATCATGTGGCACAGAAAGAATGCTATAATTTAATTATTTGAAGGGTGTCAATCACTCTTTTCTGGACTGCTAATACTGAGATTTATGTGATTTGGGCAGCTATCTTTTTAGTAAGTATACTAAAGAACTATAACTAAATAGTAACTAATAACTTTACTAAATTTAAGTATACACTTAAATGTCAAAAATTGACTGCATGATGATGAAAACAATTATATATATCCTGTGGCACTATATAAATTGCAAAATTTATTTGGGGTCAATCACTCTGTTCTGGGCCAAGTAAAGCTTGTATTTGTACTAATATGTATACATATACAGACTCCCAAAGGTTTAGCCAGATCTGACAGAAGTGCTATTACTACATAATCTTTGCAAAAGAGAGAGGCAGCTCAGATTAATATTAGTTTATGTTGACACCTGTCTTGAATGTGTTGATTCTTCTTCACTCACACAAGGGAAACAAGGCGACGTCTACAAAACTAAAGTCAGCAACCTGAGAACTAGGACATACAATGAATTCAGCTCTGTACAAATGGTCATCCCCATCGTACTTAGTGACTCAAAAGCTTGACCAGTTACTCTGTGTAATTTTCCTTTCAACTGTTTTCTTGCTGTTATATAGATCTTGGATGTTGTTCACTGAACATAACTATGCAGAAATTTCATTTCTACATAGAATTTCATTTGCACAATTTTGCTAAAGATGCAATGTAAATTACTGTTCTTTTGTGTTAATTTGTGTCATCAGGAATAAACGCAATGTTTTTGAATGAAGATATAATTGTGTAAAACTGTCTAATGTGCGAGATGAGTGAACAAAGATAATCCTCATTAAGGCACCATCCCAAATATACATACCGAAAAATTAATAGAACTCCCTCAGCCCCATGGGTGATATCCAGGGTGGAGATCCCCAAATGAGGTGGGGCTTTGAAATGTGCCAAGAATGGGAAATACAAAAACAAAAATATAAAATCACAAATATTTTATCACAAAGTATAATTAAAATGCCATCTAAACTTTTCTAAAAATGTCCAATACAGATCAGGGGCGGACTGACAACTCATGGGGCCCCCGGGCAATAGGGGATCATGGGGTCCCTGTGTCCTTGCCCAAACTCAAAAAAGCCTATGAAAAAGGTACTGGGGGCATCTCATGGAGCCCCCTACTGACCCCGGGCCCTCGGGCAGTGCCCGAGTTTCCAAATGGTCAGTCCACCCCTGATACAGATCCAATTGCAAGATGTATCTAATCTATACAATCATTACAATAATGAATAATTTCAGCATTATGTCAGCATATAGGATCAGCGCATTTCACAGAGCTTGCTTCCTCAGGATCCATGCTGAAAACATACATGAAATAAGATAAGTAAAACAAAGAAAAATATATATAATGACATGTAAGTCATAACTACACCATATCTGCATACCAATATGAGAATGATGGGAAGCTCTTTGGTTTGGCCTTTTGTTTTTTGTCATTTCCCTTTTTCCTTCAGGCCACTTTTCTTATGTATGTTTAAGTGTGGATCCTGAGGAAGCAAGCTCTGTGAAACACGTCGATCCTATGTGCTGACATAATGCTGCAATCATTCATGTTTGTAATGACCGTATGTATTAGATACATGTTGCAACTGGATCTGTACTGAGTATCTTTAGAAAATTAAGATGGCATTTTACTATTACTTTTTAATACATTTCTAGTGATTTTATATTTTATTGTATGTTTGTATTTTCCATTGTTGAGACATTTTAAAGTCCCACCTCATTTGGGGATCTCCACTTTACCCTGGGTATCACCCATGGGGCAGAAGGAGCCCTATTTATTTTTTCTGAAGACATCATTGTATTGTGTTGAAACATTTAATGAGTTGGTGATTGTAGACTTAAAACTTCCTTGTAGATTCCAGTCCCAGTCCACTTCTGATTTTACCAGTAAATCTGGTGAGATGAATAATAATTTCTCTCATTTGTTTAGAGTTGACTTTTTAGGTAACAAAAATTGTGAACACAAAGCCAGTATTTTTTTTTTTTTGCTGAGCACAAGGCATTTTAGGCAAATTCCACCACATTTAACCAGCTAGCAATATAGAAAAATAACTAGTGGGCTCAAGAGCAATCTACCACCAACACCATAGATCATTTTACAATGGTGATAGAAACTGTTAGATTTAGGGGTTAGGTTGTGGTTCAGAGATAGATGAAGGGGTTATGGGTTGGTTTTAGGTGTGAAATTGGGGATAATGATCAGGTAGAGGTTTACTGTTGGAGTTAGGGGTTAAGTTAAGGAAAGTGTAACTAGAACCCCATTCACAATGGCCAGTGCAGAGCAAAGCTTACACTGTCATTTAAATGTTGGCCCTTCAAGCTGCTGAAGCTATAAGTATAAGCTGTAAGAATATTACATTTTATCAGTAAATAAACAATAAACAACTGTGTATATACTGCTTGAAAGAACGTGTAGGGCTAAATAAAAGGAGTCAGGTTTCTAAAGCCAGTAAAATAACCTTGAAAAGCAAGCAAATAACCTGCGTATACGTGGATTGTGCCAAAGGGCTGCCAAGACCTGACTGCTGGACAAAGCCCTTTGGCATATCCATTCACATACCATAATGACAGCACATGGAGGGTGGAGCCATGAAGAACAGGGGCTTAGGTTCTGTTTTAAATTGGGTAACAGTGAGCTCCAATGAACATGCAATGGGAATACTTAAAAAAAAAATCATAGACTACTTAGTGAATGTTCACTTTTCAAAATTAATGTTCACTAAACTTAGAGAAAAGGGTGATGGCATGTTTATTTCAATAAGTCAATCAATTAATCAATCTTGGTTTTTTTTTGCACATATTTGGATATTCAAAATAATAGTATGTCACGTTATTTACTAACGCTCACTTTTCTGCATGAACAATCTACTCCATTACTACATCCATTCCATTGACAGAAGTAGCCAAATGGGGAAAACAATCTTTGTACAAGTAGAGCTTTTCCAATGTGCATATCACTATGGCCATTGCCAACACTATTGGCAAGTGTGAGTTTCATCTAATACAAGCAGATTAACTCCCTTGCTTTGCAGCCTTCAAGGCAAATAGAAGAACAAGTTAGTCTAAGACTACAGCACGACATGAATATGTACATATAGTTTGTGTTGTGTTTTTTATTTGTTGTGTTTCTTCAAAGAAAACATGAATGTGCAAAGCAGACAGTAGTCATATAATTTTATTTTAACAAGGGACATTGATTCTAATTAGTTGCTGAAATACAATTAAATCAGAATGTTAGGTGTAATTAAGATGAACCAATTTTCAAGGAAAAAAAGGCCATTAAGGATGAAAAGGAAATGATCCGCTATTAATTGACAGAATTAAATTGTATCTTCCTACTCTTTGGAAACTATTAAAGTTTGTGCTGATTAATAGGAGGAATTTATTAGTCAACAGATAAATAGCTGCAACAGACAATCCTGCATTTTATATATGAAGCCTTTCCATGTTAAAGTAGTAATAAAAATGTAATGTTGTGTGGAGATAAAAATGCATATACAGTGTCTCCAAAATGTTCAGATATGTTATTTAAACTTGGTAACCTTCTGTAGATGTGTGTATAAGATTGTTAAAATTCTGATACTATTTCTCTTACAAACATAAGTATATCAAGGTTGTTCTTATAAAGTAACAACTTTACATTTTGGCATATTTAACATTTTGTTTTCTATAATCTTACTGTCTTTTTTAAAAATCATGTAACTAAAGCTAAATTCTAGGCTAATTGTAATATCTTTTTATTTGTTTTCATTTACCTACTTGACCTTCAGAAGGCTTTACCCGCCCCCCCCCCCCCCCCCCCCCCCCCCCCCGTAATGACCAAGGCATTTTTTGATGTTCAGCACTGTGCTATTTTACCTGGCAAATGCTTGTGCAACACCGTACCCGAGTTAGATTTTTAACACTTTTGTTCACACAAATAGAGATTTCTTTTGGTGGTATTTTCACCTTTTTTTAATTTTTTTGCCGTATAAACAAAAACTTACTGACAATTTTGAAAAACAAAAATAGGTTTTTCTTTTCTGTTATAAAATTTTCAAAACCAAAAAATCTGCCTTCATAAATTTAGGCCAAAATGTAGTCTACTACATTTCTTTGGTAAAAATTACCCGAATCAGTTTATATTACTTTGTTTGTATGGAAGTTATAACGTCTAGGAACTATGATATGTCTATGTGAAAATTGATCAGTCATGATGTACTAACAATCTCATCTCATTTCCTAAGACCCTAAAATACCAGGACAGTACAAATCACCCTCAAATTACCCCTTTTTGGAAAGTAGAAAGTCCAAGGTATTTAGTAAGAGGCATGGTGAGTTTTTTAAAGTTTTTGTCCCAATTTCTTTGGAAATTTGTTTCACAATTTTTTTTACATACTGTCACCAGTGCATTACAGCGTCACCATATGACTGGGTGTAATGGTAACCAGGCCTACTGACTAGTGATAGTAAGTAAAAATAATAAAATTAAAATAATTAAAAATTAAATAATTTCTTGTTTAATTTCTTTAAACATTGTTTTCTTTTTTTGTTATTTATATATATATATATATATATATATATATATATATATATATACAGTCATCAGAGTAGGGCATTCTCACTATAGTGACACTGTACTACTCTGGGGGGGGGGGGGGGCGGGTGTTCAGGGATTTTCCTTTGTTATTGCTTAGAACAGGGACGATCAATGTTATAAGCAATGGTTAACTGTCATGAATGGCTTTCTATTCATAACAACTTGCTTACTGTTCACATGCTGTGATTGGCTACAGGTAATCACATGGTACAGGGTGCCAGGTACCGCGAGATAGCTGTGGACCAATTATAGCATCAGAGCAGTAAGCAAGCTGTTCATGAATGAAGGCCATTCATGATAGTTTGCTTACATCAGTGTTTCTCAACCTTTTTTTAGTCAAGGCACCCTGTAAAATTATGGACAGTCCCGAGGCACTCTTTAAAATTATGAACGGTCTTGAGGCACCCCATTCTAAAAAGTAAAACTCTATTCTAATAGTTATATAATGCAACAACATCCATACACGTAGGACACCCAACGTTAGAGGTGATTTTATCTTCCAAAGCAAATACACTTTTGCACACTGGTACTGACTAGTATTCCAATGTTTCTCTTCTCCCTCAGTTTTTCTCCGTCACTGAGCTAATGTGACCCCGTAGATGGAGAGGGACAGGGGAGGGTCAAACAAAGATGCTGTGCAGGCCATTGACATCCTCTTATCAACTGATGATGTCATAGGTTGTCAAGACCCCAGAGGCTAGAAGGTTGTAATGGTGCATAATGTAGCTTTGTGTAACTAAAAGGCAGGCTTGTTCCACCCATTGGCTTGCATACAGGTTTGGGACAATTTAGATATTTTGCCAAGGCACCCCTGAAAAAAACCTCAAGGCACCCAGGGTGCCTGGGTACCCTGGTTGAAAAAGGCTCACTTACATAATATCATGTGATTGCTATGATTTTTCATAGCAATCACATGTGAGTGGCTGGATAATTAGTACTGTGATCTTAATGCTGTGGGAATTATGGTGACCTATACTAGATGAGTAATCTGTTTAATTCTACAATGAGTTGCCATTTGTCTTTTTTTTTAAATTGCTATTTGATACTACACTTAGCTGGCACCGCTTTCTTGCCTCTGATAGGAAGAAAGAGCGGAGTGACAGAGAGACTGTCCAGACACAGGCTGGGGCAGGTCCAGGATTACAGATGTTGGATAAATCATCTTGGATTTCAGTCTGACATCTAGTGGCAGAAAAAAAGTTTAATTTTTTTCTTTAGGCTAGAGCGGGTGTCGGCAACCCGCGGCTCCAGAGCCGCATGCGGCTCTTTTTCACCTTTGCTGCGGCTCCGGAGCACACTGCCCACCAGGTGACAGGCAATAGGGTTGCCCTAGCTCAGTGGTCGGCAAGCCGCGGCTATTTACACACTTCAATGCGGCTCTTCTGTGTGCCGGGCGCCTGCTCCCCTCCCTCCTCTCGGACGGCCGCCCCAAAAGTCAGGACTCTGCAGCTAGCCCAGCAATGGGCAAACTACGGCCCGGCGGACCTTTTAATCCGGCCCGCGGAGCGTGGCAAACATTGGCTGTCAGGATGTAGGCGGGGCAGCGTGACGAAACTCCTCTCCTCTCACAGTCCGCCCTGAAGACCGGAACGG